GCTGCAGTTTGCGGGCCGTTACGTAAGATTACAGTTTTCTTGGCCAGGCTGCCCGCAATGTCGGAGTTCCGGAATGAGCACTCTTATTGCGGTCAGTGGTCAGTGCCGGTCTATGGCTGGCACCCTACAGGGATTTCGGTAAAGAAAGGCGAACAAAAATGTGTCATTCCTTGCATCGATATGGCTTGAAGGTACCATTGCAACAGGCCCAACCATATAGCACAATTGAAGAATCTACCTTGGCAGTTTTCATCATCCTTTCATTCTTTGTTGTGGTAAGATTTTACATGATCTGCGACAGTTTGTTGCTGACTGACCGCAAACCATGAAGGTCATTTCGACCACTTAACACTCGCATTGACCACTGCAGCAAAGTGTGTGCGATGAAGTCGTGAAACTTTGTTCCACGTTGTAGTTGAGGAGCTCGGCTCTTTATTGCAACCATTCTAGTTTTTTCCCTAGAATAAATAGAAAATTCGGATAAAAACGGGTTTCAGCCGCATTAGGGCTCCTACCACTGAAATATCACTTGTGCACTTCCCCCTCTCTATTTACTTCATACCTCACGTAGAGTCCGGTTTCTGGCAAAAACTGCATTACTTTTTTAGCATAAACGGCAAACTCATGGTAGAAAAGGGTCATGCTAAATGCATGTAAAAGGCATCGTACAGAGTGTCATTATTTCATTCAAAGCGACTTTTTGGTCCCCGCTTTCCGCTTTTTGGCTCAAGTCTTCAAAAGCTGACGGGCTGTCGATTCGGCAGCAGAAAATGATTCAAACACGCCAGGTAAGCCAAAACAAACCAGAAAACACTAAGACCTAGCAGGAGAAAGGGGCATTAGCCTGCAAGCACATAAGCACGAGTGGCACCCTCGAAACCGGGTTGAGCACGACCGAGGACCGCGCCGACGGTGTCTGCTACGGTCTCTCTCCATGGCTGCGAGGAGTACGTCGACGGCGTCTGCTGCGGTCCCTCTCCATGCCAGCAGGAACCGCGCTGACAATGTCCTGCTGTAGTGCCTCTCCACGGCAGCGGGGAACGCGCTGACAGGGTTCTGCTGTAGTGCCCTCCACGGCAGCGGGGACCGCGCTGATAGTGTCCTGCTGTAGTGCCTCTGCACGGCAGCGGGGACCGCGCTGATAGTGTCCTGCTGTAGTGCCTCTGCACAGCAGCGGGGACCGCGCTGATAGTGTCCTGCTGTAGTGCCTCTGCACAGCAGCGGGGACCGCGCTGATAGTGTCCTGCTGTAGTGCCTCTGCACAGCAGCGGGGAGCGCGCTGATAGTGTCCTGCTGTAGTGCCTCTCCACGGCAGCGGGGAGCGTGCTGCGTTGTCATGGTGACCGAAGGCGGAGCCACGTCCTCACCGAGATATCAATACGCATCAAAAGAAATGACAGGGAACCGCGCTCTCTAAAGCTAGGAATACGTGAGGCGTGTGCTGATGAATAGTAGCTTGTATTGCACACTAAATAAAACGACACTCGCACGCTCACGCAGATGATGTCAGCCTAATGAGCAAAGTAATGTTGATAAAAATGGATGCCTTGATGACGTCGGTGCATGTACGACACTCTGCAAGCGCGGTAAATATTGATCATTGCGATGGCAGTTGAAACAGTACAGATCAGGAACTACTGTAGGAAGAGATCACGGGTTGGAGATAGGGGTGGGGGCCAATATGCCCTTGTATTGAGGTACTGACGTGCGGGCAGACTCAAGAGAAAATGCAGTGAGGTTGACAAATTATAATTTTTGCCTTGCGATTGCAGAAAGGACGTTTGACGTGTCATAGACACTTTACCAAACGCAACACAAGTATGTTACATGTGAATTTCGAACGTTGATACCCACAATTCAACATACTTCAAAATCATTTTTGACCGCTGACACATTAAATAGTTTACTTGCTTGGATAATAATGAAAAGTACACCAATCGACGCGCCGTTTACTGTACACAATCGAGCATGGGGGTGTAGAGCTTACGCTACGTGACCCAGTAACCAGCACAGGTCAAAATGATACATTTGCAGCTGTTGACGCTGCTGCAAAAACCATCTGTTCAGCCCGGTTGGAGTAAAAAGCACACCAATCCATAATTCCTAGCTGATTTGCCTGCGGCGCGCATATATAAACATGTGATTCGTGAACGGCGTGGCCCATGTGCCGAAAAGTTTCAGATTGTTCATGGTCGGATGTTGATATGCGAAAACATATTTACGTCCGTGGACCAAAATAACAAATACACCAACCGGAACGCAGTAGACGATATAGCAGAGGGAGGTGCACATCTCTGGAGATTGATGCCCCCCGTCTGAGCGGCCCGGGGTTTTGTCTTCGCCAGGAGGATTGTAACCCACCACCAGTTTCTAAGCTTGATCCTCATCTCTTAGAGTTTGTTAGACATCGAGAATTCCCGTCTGCAGATATTGCATGAAGGCCTGACGCCGTTCAACATCGTCGCCACCAGGCAGCAGGACAAGCAACAGTGTATTCCGGACGCTCCCTCTCGAACTCCAGCAGACATCCCTGCTCTAGAGGACGGAGAAGCTGAGAAGCACGCCACGCATCCAATCGCCCCCCTGGAAGCCCGGATGGCCGCGGGCGCCCAAGCTGAAGAGCCGCCTTTCTGTTGGGTGACCCGCGTGTGGTCAAGCCACGTAGCACTCGTGTCAGATGCCCAATGGACTGTATGCAAGCCACCAAGGCGCTGATTGCGCACATCGGTGGGCGAGACAAGCCGTGTACTGGCCTGCTTTCTTCAGAATACCACGACGGCCATTGGCCATCGAAACGGCCATCGAAATGCAGAATGCAGAATGCAGAATGACGGCCACCGAGGAAGACCTGACGTTTGCACAGGGGCGCCCCGGGTTTTCCAAGCAGCATTAGCTGACTTTTCCTGAACGGGGCGCACGTACTTCATGTACGCTGATCGTCTATCGGGCTGGCCGGCCATGTCCTTCTGGGCATGGAGGGGGGAGGGGGACGGGGGCGACCGCCCGCCCATGATCTCACCGCCTGTCTCCGCAGCACATTCGCGGCTACGGGGGTGCCCAGAGTCTGCGAAGCGATGGCGGACCGCATTTTGTCGATAAGTGAACCCATGCCTTCCTGCAAAAATATTGTGTGAATCATCCGATGCTTACGTCACATTTTCCGCACTCAAACGGTCATGGGGGGCGACAGTAAAATCTGGCATACGGCGTGTGCAGAAGATCACTGGATGAGGACATTTCGCTTCTGACGAGTCTGCCAACGCCCTAATAAAATTAGGCAACACACCTCGTATTCGAGCAGCGGAGGAGTGCACCCGTAGAGCAGAGGAAGTCCAGATGCGCACGAAGGGACAGAACAAAGTCGGGACCCGCCCTCTTCAGCGTCTGCTGCGGGACAGTACGCCGTGGTGCATGATGCCCAAAATGGTGTCTGGGACCGATCGCACATCGTCGCCGACGTCAGCTAGTGACGATGAAGTGGCGCAACCGTCAAAATCCTCGTGCGCTGCGGCCGCACAGCAGCGCTCACGGGGGGGGGGGGGCCGTCGGCGGCGGCTGCGACATCGGCGATGGCGGCTGCGACAATCGGCGATGGCGGCTGCGACATCGGCGATGGCGGCCGCGACGCCAACCCTCCTGCTGGATCCCTCCGCACGGTCATCTCTGAGTCTCGATATTTGCTGCATCCAGCACCTATTTAGGGCTAAGATCTCGATTCTCGCCGGATCTCTCGGCTCAGTGTCAGACCGCATCTCATAAATCTAATCAGATACAATCTGATAAGCCTCGAAGCCAGAGAAAACTGTGAGAAAAAACGCCAAGCTCTCCCGGAACCCACCCGGTCAGACGAGCCTCCGCTTGTAAGTTGCGGATATTTTTCCTCTTGGACGCTCTTGCAGATGACCATCCGTGCAGAGTTTCCAGTGGCCAGTCACCGACCGCACACCCCTACCTGGCCATTCCAGAAAGCGTGCCGTCATCGCAGAGGACAGATGTTTGTGGGAGAGGCCCCCCTGGCTGCTGAGTCGAGTCATTCATCATGCTTTGGCATGGGTAGGTGTGCGGTGGTCTGCGAGTGAAGTAAGGTAGCGGGACTTTGAAAGCCACAATCAGGAGAAAGCTGCGGTTTTATTATTGCCGGCAGATTGGAACTGCGGATTTACGCCGCTCACAAGCATCCCATTTTAAGCACATTTGACACGCATACCTTCACCGTCTTCTCGAATCGCAGGCATCGTTTTCTCAACAGGCCCGATACTGAACATCTGTTTCAACCAACGCTGGGTAGCCAGTGCAATAGCAAGAAACCTGCCTAGCTGGCTGCCTGTTTACTTCCACTTCAGGGCGGTCGCCTCACAAAATGCCTTTGAATATTACATTTATGATAAGCAGCGGATCATTTGTTAAATAGAAAGGCAGAAAGCGAGTACCGGGACACTGATCTTGCGACCACGGCACTCAAATTTCTGGGAAATGCCGAAAATGTCTCTACAGCGATTTGACAGTTCTAGAAACAGGGACGGAGAAACAGAACACACCAGCATATATTCATAGCTACCATTGTACAGGCAGTTGCTGATGACCATGGGCAGACTTCCATCTCTTGTTCTATGAGCTCATTTTTCAATAGCTGTTGATTTACCTGTTTAACGCTCATAACGGATTTAGCAATTTGGTTGCAGCGGTGAGGTCAGCGCGCGGTGGCAGATGAGTAATACGCTGTAGGGGATACACAAACTGAGCAGACCCTTGTTCGCAAGACCTTGTAAGATGAGCAATGGGATATAGGAAAAATATGCGTTGAAATCTTACAGGATAGTCGTGTGTATGCGTTTCGCTGCATGTTCAAAGGCCTTACTGTTTAAATGCAGATAAAATGTTGGTACAAATGGATGTCTGACGCGGAAGCTGACTCTTCTTGCCCGAAAGTGGTGCCTCTCTGTGGAATACAATGATTGGCTTATCGCCAATAAACAGCTGATGTTGCTGCTTTGTTTCAGCGAAGGCCCAGCTGCTTCCAGACAAGGGAGGATTCAAGTGTCCTGCTCTGGACGGATATTTCGCTGATCCAGATAACTGCAGAAAGTAAGGACTGCCAGTGGACAGGTGCAGGAACATGCAAACCATGCAGTATCAATAGTTGGAGTCAACTTCTTCTCTTTCGTCACCGAGCCTGCTCCTCGGGTCTGCCTGACTGGGAGACACGATGATTCTGCAATGACGGACACCAGAGAACTTCGAATATTGGCTCCGCACGTGCAAAACAAGCCTTTCTTAGCAATTGCCCCGAGCCTATGGCCACTCGGTGGACCATTCGAATTAGATACATCGACACCCGCACGGATAACCGGGTGGGTTTGGGGTGGGAGTGCGGAAGTGAGGGGGGTGGTTGCGAAGGGGGGGGGGAGGGCGGTCAAGATGGCTCCCCTCCTCGAGATATCAAAAACTGAGCGAGCTGGAGACACGACATTCATAGGGTGAGTAAGTCTGTATGCGAACTCACTTGTGTCAGATTTTATGATCCCTAGATCATGACTGTTGGGTAAAAAAAATCCGAACGAGTTCAAACTCTAGATCGTGCCCGAAGTGCCTCCAGACCTCCTCATGTAATTGCCTTTACCATAGATACTTGTTCTAAGCAAAAGACCACTGGTCTTCATTTCAGGTCGGTGACCTTAGGGACCTCAAGAAGGTTACGATGACAAAAAACCTACGACATTGAATTTATTTTTGAATTTAGATAAGCTTGGAGGATTGCCTTAGGCGGCATGCTCCTAAAAACAACAGATTCATCGGGGTCACCTTGCATCAGTGATCTCCTCTGACCTTCAAGAAGTCCAAGTAATGTCTGTTAACGTCCCTATGATCAATACATTAGAAATTAGGAAAGAATAACCAACAACTAACAGCAACAATAACTTGAAGACACGAAGGAACTTCTTCAGTGGAAAAACAGTTTGGTTTTGACTTCGATCTTAGGTTCATGCCTCATCCAAGGTCAATAGAATAAGCCGTAGTCCTGAATTCAATCGGCCAATTGCCTAATAAACTATCTCAGAGATTATGGTTTCGTGTAATACTCGGTTGTTGCATCAGATTGCGGATTTCCTAGAAATTGCCTGTGCTGACGGCCATGGTCTGACTGTCCTGTCATAGGCCAGCGACATTACGAGGCAAATCTAATTTTGTTATACCAAAATAAATGCCGTTTGATTGCCTACAGCTATGCAACGTTGGGTTTGGTCGGAAACTGTTTTGCAAAAGCCTCCGGTAGGTCAAATTGACCTCTTCCCCCCGAGCGCGTGTCAGATGAAGTTTTCAAACGCTTTCCTGTCATAACATGATTTACATGTAAAATAAATGACAGCTATACGAGGGCGACGATGAAATAATGCCTCATACATTCCCTACTCCACTCAATTACGTCAAGCAACCAAAAGCTTCAGAGGAGCATGAACGCCTGCTCAAAAAGTCAGACGTGTCATGCTCCCTAGCGGCTTTCTAACACAACTGTGTAGCTATCACAAACACCGTTCTTTTTGTTGGGGCGAATATATTTGTGCATGTTTCGCTCCCATCCAGCTTTCAATCACCGCCTTAGCCAATGTACCGTTTTTTGCGCGTGTATCCTATGTTCCTTGTTTTTGTTAGCATGGATCAGAGCGCCGAACGCACACCTGGTCCACCTTATCGACATTTACTATACATACCAAACAGTACTAGCATGTTCGGCGTAAGAGCTATGGGTGCGCGGCACTTCCAAGCATATACTGTTAAGATTTCTCGTCAGCATCGACAGCTGCAGCCACACCACGAAATTGATGGAATGCCATGCGGGAGCACCTTTGTAGGACACTCCTCATGATTCCCTTCATCGAACACAATCATCCAGATCGCAGAGAGTGAACGTCACCAAAGTCGCGCGGTCGCGCTATCCGCGAGCCTGTCTCCAGCCGTCTGACCGCAGCCACCTTTGTCTTTACGCACAGGTTCTACCAATGTGTGGACGAGTACGCGCACAGCCAGGTGTGCCCATCCGGCCTCTACTGGCACGACATCAAGAAGCAGTGCGCCTATAAGAACGAGGCTGTCTGCGGACCTGTGGAGACGAGTGAGTGTCACGCGGCCGCCTCTCTGGCACACCCGTGCCCACCGTGTGGCATGTTTCCCTGGCGCTTCATAGCGACAGAGATTTCGGTCCCACTTCGCACAGATTTGCGTCCGGTACATCGCTGAGATGCCCACGTTCACTTCGTCCAGCGACGACGCCGATAATCAAGAGGATGAGTGCTTAATTCGAAATGCACACAAAAGTTTTGCTCGTCCCGGTATGTTAAAATGAAAACTTTCAGGGGGGTGAAGTGAAAATATCGTTCGCGTGATCAGTTTACCGCACCCGCATGCTTCCACTTTCCGCCAGATTCATATGCATCTCCGTGCTGCCAGGGGCTCTGACCACCGTGCGCTATCAGTGTTGTGCCCATCCTCCATCTAAAACGTCATGCTTTGCCGCAGCCGAGGCCCCCATCACCACTCCGGACCCGTACGCCGCCACCGCCTGTGACCCGGCCAACTGTGTGCTGCCCAGCTGCTTCTGCTCCAAGGATGGCACGCTCATTCCCGGGAATTTGGACCCGGCACAGGTGAGATCTGGACCCAACACGTTTGTAGGACCTGAACCCAGCACAGGTGAGATCTGGCAACGGTGCGAACCGTGACGAGTTTGATGTGGGTCACAATCCTCCAATGGTCCGTTCCATTACACCACCGGTCCCAACCGCCAAGCATCTTGGGGGTCTTTAAGAATGGAGTCACTGACCACTGAGGATGGAAAAGAAAGGAGCCCGCACGTCCACGCCTCAACATGCGTGTGCACAAGGCCACACGCGCGTCTCCGTGTTCACCGATACCTCTATGACCCTGCACTGTGTGTCTTGTGATACCCTGCTATTTGTCTTGTGCTAAACATCACGAATCACGGCTGCCGTAATGGCCGTCTGTGTCTTCTCTGATGCAAGCTTCCAACACTGCCACAAAGTTTTGAGAGGGCAAGCCGTCCCAAACACCCATTTAGGCCCGCAGACGAGCAGGCCCTGGCGCCTATTTGGGCCCGCAGACGAGCAGGCCCTGACGCCTGTTTGTGTCTGCAGACGAGCAGGCCCTGACGCCTGTTTGGGCCCGCAGACAAGCCGTTCCTGACGCCTGTTTGGGCCTGCAGACGGGCAGGCCCTGACGCT